TTGGTTTGGTTTATTTTTTGTATTTACACTGCCACCGTCTTGGAAGGGGAGTCTGTCAGATCCCCATAAGTTTTGCTGTTTTGGAAGCTGCAACGTGGAAAGATGCCTGTGAGGGTCACACAGGGAATGTGCAAGTATTGACAAGGGAGTGGGTACCAGCAAGGGCCTCTGGTATTGCTCTGTACGTCAGCGCAGCAAGCATCAGGACAGCCCAGCACATCACCCATCACAGCACGGCCTCAGACCGGCTGTGGCCTCGTGACAGGGAAGATGGGGTCTTGTAGACCATATGGAAAAGATGCAAGACCAGCAGATTTAGTTCAGAGAGACTGTCAGGCTTTTTCCAGTCCGTTCTGGAGCTTGACTCCCTCCAAGGGACCACGTTACCTGGCTGTTTCATCACACTTGGCCTCCATCAGCAGAGATGACCACTTAGGACGATGCTCATGACTACGGACACCCAGCCCAGTGCCACACAGACCTCCAGGTCCATCTCCATGGCTCTAGCTCAAAGCGCAGCTGGTCAGGGCAACGTTGCAGATGTTGACCCCAAAAGCATGGGGTTATGATCCTGCAAGTCAAACATCAGCCATGGTGCTCATCCAGCTCCCAGCTCTGCTACAGCCATGCCTGGGCTGGGAGCAGGCAGGTGAGCAAAAGTGGAAGCCTAAGGCGGGTTGTTTCTTACAGCAAACATTTAAAAGCAGAGTTAGACTAGAAAATCGCCATCTTTTGGTAATGAATCCCCTGTATAACAGTCTTAACACCCAGACATGACATGCCTGTGGAATTCCTGAGATTGTTGCAAACTGAACCCTTCTTTCCCACCCGAAATTTCACAGCAATTTACCTCTCCAAGCCATCATCAGGGATCACCATTTGCAGGCACTGAGGGGGATCTCCCATCCCGTGTCTGCTTTCTGCAGCCTGCGGTGCTATTTTGGAAATTCTCTCATTTACTGGGTGGTTCAACTGAGTACAACTGCTCCTTTGGTTAAAATCATCCCCTGCCTGTCATCTGGTAATTAGAAAGCTCCAAAAAGCCAGTGGTGCTTAAGGTGGCTCTGGGATAACCAAGGCAGCTTTTTCTTTTGCGGATAAAGGACTGGGTTTTGGAGGCTGTAGACTTTTCCACCAAAATCAGATTTTGGTTTTAAAAGCAGGGGAAGGTAACACTGAGTGAAAAATGACACCCAGAAGTACAGCAGCACTACAAAATGGGCAACTCTGCAAACACAATGAAGTGGGTGAGAAAAGCAAATGCCTTCTGTTGGAAACACCACGGGGGTGTGTGGGGTGTGTGTGTGTGTAAGAGTCAAGAGTCAAAGATAATTTTGAGGCAGATCTTAGTGATTCCACAGTAGAGGCAGTTGATGGACTCTCACAGTTCAGCTGGAGCTGGGCTGAGAATCTCGTGGAGAAACCCGAAGTGAACTCCTGCTGCTGGGAGGACATCTTCACTGATGGCAATGCACTGAATCGCAGCTCACCGGCTGCTCGCCCTGCAGCTGGCAGCGCTGACACATCCCTCTTCCAGCAGGTCACTGGGATGTCCCGAGGAGCCAAGGTGTCTGTGGTACAGGAAAGCTCCTTTTCCAGGTGCCACCCTTTCCTGTTTGCATTGCAAACTGAGCATTTCCTTGTCTGAAAATGGCCTCACAGCCTCAGTGTCTGGCATATTGTTTCCTGTGGAAATCATTGTGACCACTAATCTGTGCAGGCTTGCTGGGGTCCCTCTCCATGACATGCAACCTGGGGACCAATTTCGGGCCAACCTGATGAGTGACAATTTTGAAATCTTGGACAGTGGCAGAGCAAAGAGTCTCTGCTTAGGTACTGACTGTCTTACCCTTTTAGACTCTATGAAGGACTCGTTTTCTCCCAGAGCTTTTCCATAAGCCACTCTGCAGGTCTGCTGCTCTGTTCAGACTTGACCGTCCTTCCTTAACTTCCCTAGCCCAGCTGTAATCAGCCCCAAACGCTGCCCACACACCAAAGCAGGGACTCTCGCCGGGTGTCATTACTCAGCTCTGACTGTGTGTTGGTGGGAGAGGTGGCCTTTCAGGAGGAACCCTGTGCTCCTGCAGAGCCACTGCTCCAGGAACGCTGGTGCAGAGCCTCTTACACTTGCTGTCCTGGAGATAGGACCAGCAGGTCATCCCCCCAGACACTTTATCTTATCCAGAGGGAAGGAAAACAGGCAGAAAGAGAGTGTTCTGCAGATTGCCTGGTCTGGCTGAAATGCCCTGTTCTTCTGATAAGCCTACAAGGTTGATTGGGGAGCACACAAGATGCTGTCCTGCCGGGCTTTTGGTGGAGAAAACAAGCAGCAGTTTGGGTGTCATCCTCCAGCCCTGCTCTAATAGGAGTTGTCCCAGTTCATTGGTATTTTCACTAAATGTGCCTGGAGTGCTGGGGTTAGTTCCCTCCTCTTGGCTGGAGAATAAACCCCAGAGCTCCCTCTCCACGGGGCCAGGGGAAAGGAAGAGGGATGCAATGGGAGGGTCTGAGCACCGGGGCCACTGAAGAAAGGCTGAAGCAGGACTCTGGGGAGCCCTTGGCACGTTCCCAACTGCTCACTCCCATCAGCATCCCCAGGGTATGGCACCAGAGAGGGGTGGCCTACACAGTCTTGTCACCGCTCTGTCCCCTCTGCTCTGGAACAGTGAGTGAGGAGCAGGCCATCAAATGCCATGAGCCATCAGGTATGAAAACCCACAAACACCGCACATGCAGAGTCTCCATCAGAAAGCAAGTGCCAGGGACACCACAGGGAAGCGGCTGGGGGCAGCCCCTGCCATGCTGCACACCCGGAGAAATTGTAGGGGCTGTAAATGACGCTAATAACCAGGCAGAGCACAGCAGCCAAGCGTAATGATTGCTTGCTGCGAGGGACACTTAGAGGCATTTCTTAAAGCCCAGGACAGGGACCAGGAGGGGAAGAGTCCCCAGCCTGGACATCACTGCTCTGGTGGATGGAGACCAGCTCCGGGCTGGCTTTGTGGAGGGTCACTCCTCTCCCCTCTGGGCAGCTTGTATTCCCACCACACTCTGCAGCCAGCTCGGGGTGACCACAGCTCGTCACTGCAGCCGATTTCCACCCAAAGCTGCAATGTCATTTTTGCAGCAGACGAGCTTAAAGCAGTGTCCGGCCCCTCCACCCACACTGAATCGTGGAGGGGAGGTCTGGGAGACTGCAGCCCTGCAGATGGGTGCTGAAACTTCATCTATCTGTATGAACCTCCTGCCTGGCTGTGAGTAGAAACTTTTCCTTGGCTGGCTCATAGATAAGAAGGATTGAACCAAAACAGACAGTTCAGCAGAGCAGGCAGTGGGGAGCAGAGCAGCCGGGGCAGTGTGGATAGCATAAGCTGCAGCTCAGACATCAAGGACGAGCAGCTTGGTTTACAGCAAAGACAGACTGTGAGTTCTCCTCCGCGGGCACACACACCACTGCTGGTCCCACTCGCCAGTCTGGCACACAGCAAGTGCCACAGGGACTGTGGGCTCCAAGGCCAGCCGTGCCACCGCGTGCCACCCAGCTGCACACCAAACCAGCAGCACACGTCCTCCCCCAGCCCACTGCCACCAGAGCTGAGCCACCGGGCAACCAGCTGGTGGTGGATGCCCTGGACATTACTGGGAGGAAGCTGAAAGCAGTAAATAATAATCAACATTGGCGAACACCAGCTCAGACCAGCAAGGGAGCGGGGCTAGGGAAAGGGATTCACCCAGGACCATGGAAGTGTTATGCCAGGCATGTGAGTGCATGGGCACAAAGCAGAAATAGGTTGCAGTTCCGGGCCTTGGCTCTGGAAACTTCCTGCCACTGGGAGATTTTAATGCAAGAAAATAATGTAGTAATGTTACACTTCTATCCTTTAGCTTCCCTTAAATTAAAAAGTAGTAAAAAATATCTGCAACACATTCCTTGAAATGTCTCCAGCCCCTGCAGGTGCATCTCCAGCACTTAATTTTACTTTAGATCAATGGTAAGGATGTACTTTGGAGTTCTAAACCACTCTAGGAAAGAATAAATTGCAACTATATCAAAAGTAATCTCAATGTACAAGTGTGAAAAATCTCTTAATATAGAGTAACCTTTTCCTTCAAACTTTAGTTGGTTTTCCTTTCTGTAGGAGTCAGTTGTGACTGGTAGGTATGGGAGACATTCCCCAGGTGAAACGAAAGACAGCAGACTGGGACAGACACGTACAATCCTTCCACTGGGCTGAAAACCTGAATTAAATGGATGAGAGCTGGGCAAAGCAACAGTACAACTGGTCACTGGGCTGAGATATAAGAAGCCTTGGAGACCCCCACACCGCTCTCCTTCCTCCACTCTTTCTGCATTTCTCATCAGCACAGGCGTTCCTCTCCTGTGTCTGTGGGTGCATGGAGCACCCGGGGATCCTGCCCAGCATCAGGCCCTCCATTACTTGTTTGGTTGAAATTTTGTAGGTGGGCAGGGAAGGGGGCAAGAGGAACACTTGCTAGGGGAAGGGACTGATCCAGGTGTCTTGAGCTGGGCCCAGGATCCAGAATGATATCTCACATTTATATGGTTATGCAGTGCCCTACAAAGCACCGTACTAAACCTAGGCTGAGTCCGTGTTCCCTGCTTCTACTTGCAGCTTGGTAGCCTGTGACCTCAATCATCTTGCTGGGGTCCAGTGACTTCTGCCTCGTGGTCCCATTTAGCTCTAAAGGACACTTGCTTATCCTTGACTCACAGGGACTGCAACAGTCCCTTCTTCCCAGCACTCACATCCCAAATGGAAAATTTGTCTGTTCCGTGGTGGAAAAGACAGATAGCCCGAATCTAAGTGATACTCAGGCTTGGTTCTACTGAGACATGTCCCTCAGGCAGAGATTACAGTCAGCTTCTAAAGATAGGTGCAATTTCCTGGGAGAGCTGTCTTGCATGTGAGAGGTAGTTTCCCATCTCTTTTACAGAAAACCACTTAAAGCAGTACAAAGACACACAAGACACACAGACATGCACTGAAAGATAGAAGCAGCGCCTTGATTTACTGTGGGGCTAGAAACAGCATATAACCTCTAGATTTCTCCACTGTTTTTAAAAGCCCAAGATGCAGCTGTCTCTTCCTGCCAGCCCTCTGCTTCCCGACATCTGGCAGGGTAGTAAAGGTCAAATGTCAGAGCAAGTTGGGAGGTATGCAAACAGTTAAGCCACCTTTTTGCTGAAGTCATGTTTGAGTTCCTGCAAAATAAATAAATAAATAAATGGAAAAAATACCAAAGCACAGAGATCATGTTATACAAAGATGCCCTCTGCTGGTCACAAGCCAAAGGAAAGCCATCCGCCTGAGCTCTGTGTCAATGATTTGTGACTTCCCTCCCTCCTTTTATGGATGAACCCCTAAAAATATTCCATATGAAGGGAAATGTGCTCTGAAACTTAAATTTAGTGTTTCTTCCCATGACAGCTGAAGTGATCTAGCAGCAAACTACTAGCAAGGACAGTCAAGCCACTTCTCTCTTTTGTTTTGGATCTTACGAACTTTGGGTAAGTCAAATAGCTTCAGTTAAAATCCAGTAGAAAAACAAAAGCATTGAAAGAAATGTTCTGCCAGGCCAGCCAGCGGAACTCACTCCCTAGCTGCCCTGATGCAATGTAAGGGAAGTGGTGAGACCACAGGGCCAGGGAAAAAAGGGGCACGTCCACATTATTTGAGACTGGCTTTGCTGTAATGGTTAACTTTTGCAGGCATTTGAGACATAATCCACAAGTCCCTGCAAGTTGAAAACAGCTCTTGCAGTCAGTATTATGAACTGAAAACTATTTCAGGCACTAATCAGTTCAGAGCATGTTTCTGTCTGTTTTAAATAGCAATATTTTTTGATCATAGCTATGATTTTAAACAATTTCTAAGAAGCATTGAGAGCTTGCTCAAATGATACAAATTGTAGATTTAAAATCTGTTAAGTCCGTATTAAACAGTGCAGATCTATTGGACACACACATCAGTATCAGCTCAATTCTTTCTTGTATCAGTTTAATTCCTGCTGGTGTAAATCCCTGATTTAATTTACTGACTGGGAATTAAATCAGCATGAACTGTTTCAGTGCATCTGTGCTGGGTATTTGTGATGGTCAAACCAGACCATTTCAAAACAGTGTCATTGGATTAGAAAGCTCCACTGACAGAAACAAGCTCTTAAAAGAGATGCAATATAATAACGTTGGACACTAAAGAACAGTACACACAGTGAACAGGCAGCCCTCTCCTCCCACTTCATTCTTTTCCACTGAAATTGAACCCTGTCTGCAAAAATATTTCACAGTCAGGAAAGAGTTTTGTACATGTTCTCAAAGTGTTGGGACTCTAGGAAAATCAACAGGCTGCAACAATCAGGTTGCCTTGGGACAGATGTCCAGTTAGCCAGGGGCTGTGTGTCCTGGGAGCTATTCTGAAACCCAGCATTTTACACCCATGAGGGTAGCAGGGTGCTGTTTTTATCATCCTCGAGTTTAGTGGAGGATTAACAGTGGTATCAACAGAATCAGACATTGGAGGTCCTTGTGCTAACAACCAACCCCCTCCATCACGTACCCACAGGGGTCTTTGTGTCCCACTGCCCTCCCAGGTATTGTTGGGGGCCACCACTCTCTCTGGTCAGCTGGTGAATGTCTTTGGGATTTGTTTTCATGCATGATATGCTCTGGCAAGCTCTAGGTTCACATGGAAAGGCAAAGAGGTTGTATTCCACCTCTCCTCTACAACCATGGTTGGGATCACACGGGCTTTCCAGAATATCTAAGGGGTCCCACACAGAAATGGTGCTAGCTGTATGTGGTCCTGCTGCTTCTCTGAGTTTGCTGAAGCTGGACCTGCAGGTCTTTCCTACTTTGTGCAGCCCAGGAAACAGCCTGTTTTACTGGGAGAGCTGAAAAAAGCTCAGAACTCTCTCTTCAGCATTTTATGCACGTGGTATATACCTAGCCTCCTCACACTGGGCAAGGCTACTGTGCAGACTTCTCCCCAAGGTAGGAAGCGTTCTTTCCAGTCTTCTTTAGGGTTTCCAACAGGGTGTCAACGCTGTGCTCAGAGTTGATGCACACCTTCTTGTTGGGCAGGTCAATATCAAACTGGACACCTACAAGGAAAGAAAAAACCCACTTGCATAGCTAGAACTAGCTAAAGGGTGTGAGCATGGGGAAAGCTCACCTTCCCACATTCGTGCTCTCAAGGCCATCAGTCATATGTACGGGTGCTTCCTGCCAGCAACCCCTGATCCCACCACCAGCCAGCAAAACTAAACTGGTATCTTGCCAGCAGTGGTATGAAGGAAGCCAGGTCTCCTATGGATCTGCATCGGGCACCACAGATTCTCAGCTACTTGAAATCTGCTCACCCCACCCTAGATCAACAGAATCACTCATGCAACAATCAGAAAGAGCTCAGTTTAAACAAATCACTATAATCTCCAACCAGCTCAGGCTGTGCTGTGGTTTAACATGGATAGTCACTAATGAGGCAGTTAGCCTAGGGGTTAGGAGAGGGGTCAGGAGAAGTTTCCTCAGTGGCAGTACCAGCTAACAGGAGGAGAGAGGGAAAAGACACTTTCCCATGTGGATTTCAGAGTGACTAGTAAGGGTGAGCCACTGTCAGCCCAGTGAAAGGAACTGGACGTGAAGTCTCTATCCAGTCACACATTTTCACAAAACTTGTAGGTTATATATCAGCTTTGAGAGCTTTGCCACATCATCACATGAGGCTGATACTGGCAAGCATGTTGAAGAATGGTGGAGGTGCTGACAACCACAGACAGAGGAAGTGGGATCACCACAGCCTGGTAACGGTGTCTGGAAGAAGTTGCAAGGCCTTCTCCTTGGTGAGTGAAAGCTCTTCTCACTCCGTGAGGGTGGGGGAGCAGGATGACAGGTCCTCACAACTGGTGAGTGTGGGTCAGATCCTTCTCTCTTGGTAATCCCAGCTCCAAGGAGACATGGGTTATAATTTTCCAGGTGGTATTAAAAATAGGCTGTACAGGCAACCACCAAATGCTCTGCTCAGCAGCTCTTTGCTGTGACAGTTCTACACGTGGGCACTGATGACACATGTGGGAAGCACCAGAGATACCCTGGGCTTCCTTGGGAACAGCACCTGGCAGGACACCCCTTCCTTCTGGCAGCCCGAGCAGGGATCTACCAGCGTGGTTCCCAGAGGGTTCAGGATGAGGCCCTGGTGATTCACAGCCACCTGCAGCCACGGCAGCTCCTCCCTCCCTTGACATTTCTCCATGTCACGAACAATCAGCAACTCATTACTAAGCAGTAGGCTCAGAGCAGAGCAGGGATCAGGGGTTTCCAACGAGCCACTTTGAGCTTTTACCTACAGCGCTACCCTTGCAAAACGGAGGATCCCAGGGCACTGACATCCTGCCCTGGAGCTGGCGTTGCTGGGGTGAGCTGGCTGTCACACACCCAGCACTGACTCACCTCCCAGCCTGTGCAGGACACGGGTGACCGCATTGGAGCAACCTTCACAGGTCATGTCCACAAAGAACTCGTGTTTCTGAAAAGAAGCAGATGAGGGATCAGGGAGGGAGCAGCAGGCAACACACCATGAGCACTCATTCTCCACACTTGCCTTTTTCCTTGGGGAGGTGGGTTCAAATCCTCCCCAACCAAAAGGTCCACACATGCCACTAAGGGATCCTCAGCAAAACCTAGAGCTCTCAGCACTCCTTCCTGTGGCGTCCTTGTGCTGTCCCTCACAGCATAACCCTAGGGGCCTCTGGAGATTGACTGGCCCCTGCTCAGAGCAGGGCCACCTTCAGAGTCAGCACAGGTTGCCACCTCTGTGGGCCTCTGCTGGACACACTCCACTTGCCCTGGAAAGCCCAGAAGTGAGTGCCCTCCCTCCAGCTACTTGCTGTCCTGAGTTAGACTGCAAGGTTTTTGGTGCTTGCCCATCCTATTCTTGTGTCTATAAGGCCGTGGGTCCCCAACATAATAAACTCATAAAAGTATAAACAAAGCTGAAATTTAAGGAACATTAGTGCTGTTTGTCCATGCCTTCACTCCACCCAGGCCCCAGTCATCCCTTCACGAGCTGTGAGAGATACTGGGTCAATATAAACACGCTTGCCTGTAACACTAATTGTGTTCAGTCTTCGGCACCAGCCAGATCCTAACCTCCTTTTCTTGCACATCCTTTTTACTTCCCTTAAAAAATAAAAGTAAAGCTGTTTTTTATCTGTTACCCGCAATCCATATTTCTTTCTATTCAAAACCACCCTCTGCCCCCCACCACTGAGAGGCTGAAGCCCCCCCCGGACACAATTCACCCAGGAAAGCAGTTCAGGAATGGCGGTTCCCATTAGGATTTTCCAGTGTAATTAGCATTTTCTTGATTTTTATTTTACAGCTGCCCTGCGTGCTCTGGGGGCCGGTGTGCGGGAAGGAGGCCTTGGGACGGGAGGGCCCGCACCGCAGGGCTCTCCCCGGGGCCGGCCTATGCCCCCGGTGGCTGCGGGGGAGGTACGCCGGCTCCTCCCGGTCCCGGGCAGCGCCCTCCTGGCCTCCGCTGGCACCGGGACCAACCCCACCACGTCCCCCGGCCCCAC